TGGCGATCTTGCCCCTCAAATTTTTTATATATAATTTATTCTATCCTTATACGTAGATAGTTCCTTTCTTACTTTTTTCCTGCTCAAGGGTTTTTTTATTAGAAATATATCTACTACAATAGGTGGTAGATGAATATATACAATTTTGTTCATATATCTCATATCTTAATATTAACCATATAATAATAATAATTACGCATTAATAAAGATAATAAGACATGTCTCACCTTAACATTAAAAAAAAAAATAAATAAATAAAAAGATCCTAATACAAATAAAAAATATATACACAAAACAAATTAGATAATAGTACAGTATAGTAAAAATATTATTGAAGAAAGAAAAGAGAAAACAAAGCTAATTAAAATCAAAAAATATACTGGCATTATTGGAAATAAAACAGTAGACCAATTAACAAAAGTCAATTTACAATTAAATAATATCTATAAAATTCAAATTAAAAATAAAATTAAAAACATATCTTACTATATAATATAAAGAAAAATAGTATTAAATACAGATATTATTAAATTTATTATCTCGAATAACTCTTAGTTTTTTAAAGTAATTAACTAATCAAATAGTATCATATAGCTAGCTGTACAAGAAAAAATCTTTTTAAAAAAACTTTACAATAATATAAAAACTTAAACACCTTAATAAAATAATATTTATGTACTGGAAAAAGTTCTTTCAAAAAAAATTTTAGATTTATAAAAAATAAATACTTTTAAAATGGCTATTGTTATTGTTATAAAAAAGCAAAATAAAAATCTTGCCAATTTAAATTCACAATAAAATATTTTTAAAATATTTTATTTTTACTTTCTATATTATTTTTGCTAAAGTATTTATTTATATAAATGTTAATGTATTTGAATAGTTTGACAAAAATAATATTTATATCTTGATTTATAATTTTTATTATAGTATATATTTATCTTATATAAAAATATTATAATTCAAACATATATATAAAGTCAAACAAATTATTATTGCATCTTTTTCTTAACCTTATAAATTTCAGAACTGTACCAATTTTGATATATTTTAGGAACTTTAATATACCATATTGGTTCTTTCAAACAAAGTATCTCCCTGTTACTAGTTCTTTATCTTTATCTTCTAAGGTAGAAATGTTATATAACAATATATATTGTTGGGCTGGAAAACAGCAAGTCAATCGCTTCACCGGTCTCAAGTTTGTGTCACTAAAGGTAAGTTGAGGCGTGTGTGATTGACTTGGCCAGGCAATACTAATTAACGTTTCTTCTTTTCTTTTCTAGCACTCATTTACTTCTTGATATCCTGAGCTATGTTCTTCTAGCAGTGATTATCCTTCTTAAAATGGTGTATACTCAAAAAGATAAGTTGTTAATTATTACTTTCTTTTTATGGCAACTCAAAAGTAGCTATCATTTCTCTTTTTAATCCTTTCTTTTTTAATTTACTTTGTGTATATGTTCTCGTTTTTTTGCACTACTGCTATTTATTTACCCATCCGCTTATTAATTATTAATCCCACAGCTATACTATTGATGTATAAATTGATGAGACTAGACTATCAGAGCTAAAATAAACTATGGATAAGTTATATAAGCCTCTATAACTACATTTTTCTATGTTAATTACTAATGCTATCCTAAATTTCCAGGGTACATGACACAATGATCACGGTATGCAACTATACCCCGTGACTTTTACCAGGCTAACAATATACTAAATACTTGTTATAATTATAACTATATAAATTAAAAATAAGATATAATAAAATGATATACTAATTACTAATATATAAAACAAGAACTTTTTAATCTTTAATTAGATCCAAAATAAACTATTTTTTTATTAGTTCAAGATGAAAAATATTAAAATATCTAATAATATTATTAATTTCTATAAAATGGATATCTCTTGATATAATTGGATTAGCAGGTTAGATAGTTTAAACTATAAACAGAATTTCTATTTTTGATATAATTTTATTTAATATATAGGCTTATTTTTATAATATAAGAATATATAATTGGATTAATAGAGATAGATATATTAGTTAATATTTAGATAGTAATTTAAATAAACTGTTAATATAATAATATAATATAATCTTTATGAATTAATAAAAAGCTATATATGTATCACAATTTAAATTTAATGGTTTAAGTTAATTAAAATTTTTGCTATTTATTTTATTTATTAATTTATTTTTTTAAGTAGATAAATATTGTTTTTTATTAAATTTGTATATTAAAAATATGTATTATAAAAGAAATATTATATTTCATATATAATTATAATAAAATAAATGCTAATTTGCTTATAAAAATAATTGACTAATATTGAAATTAAATTTTAAAACAATATATTTTGTCAAATAATTTTAAGTAATTATAAATACATATTTAATATCAAAAGAAAGATTATTGGAGTAATTGTAAACTAATTTTATAATATATTTAGACAATTATAATTGTTTTGAATAAAGGCTTTTGTAATTGGAGAGAATAAGTCAATGATTATTATTTTTATATTGTAAATAATATAAAAGATTTGTGTAAGTCTAATTTGAAAATTACTTAACTGTTTTTAATTGTAATAATAAATAATTTTCTTTCTATTTTATTTGTCAGAAGTAGCATATCATGATTTTCAAATAATATTATATAATTATATTAAAGTTTTAATTGATACTTTAATCTAGTTATTAAAGTTTAATATAAAAAAAATATTGTTGATAATGTTACAAGTTAGTTTAATTACTTGTTATAGAAAAGTTATTGGTTTTAAATCATTTTTGAAATAGAAAATAAGATTAATTTGTTTAATAATCTGGTTAATTTCTTCTATTGTTTTTGAATATTTATGTTGTTTCTTTTCAATATGAAGTTCACATCAGGGACAGTATAGTATTGGATATTGCCCAGGATATGATTGATAAAGATTCTTTCATGTATGAAGTGTTTCTAATAGAAGTTTGATTCTGAAGGTAATTAAATAATTGTATTTGTTGTTTTAAGCATTTTTCAAATTTTGTTAAATTTGTTAATAGCTTTAATATCATGTGGACTATAAATGAAACTAAAAGATTTCAGAACTGACAAGCTTTCACAGATTATATATATTTTGGTAATACAATACCAAAAAATCAAATCAATTCTAAAAATTTAAAAGTTCACATTTATATATTGATAAATATTTTTATTAAATAGTAAATTACTAATGCAAGCAACTTTTTAAATCAACATATATTTTTTGCTAATATTTGGTAATATTGATAATAAATATAATTGATAATATTTAATATAAACATAAAATTTTATAAAATTTTAAATAGGGTTGAGATTAGGATTGGATAATTTGGTATGGATATGGTGGCAAGTATACATGACATTTAAATCAAATTAAAAAAGATATAAAATAAAGTTAATTATCAGTTTTTTTACTAGAATTGGATTCTGTTCGCATTCTCTATAATAAAATTTTTTTGTGCCCACGATCTTGAAGTTTGCTCCTTTTTCGGGAGTGCTCTGCTCATATATACAGTACATGAATGTAGTATTGTAAAATAAATATAGCGCTCATTAAATATTAATGCACGGTTTACCGATAAAATTGTCCATACCGTACTATTTCCCTTGATACTGTACTGACACTAAATAGTGACCCTTAAGACCCTAGACCGATTTACCATTGCTGTAAAATGCCATAATGATTACGTAATAAACTAATACTGTAATAAAAATAGCCTCTAGAACCGATCTTCCGATTTTTTATCAACGATGGATACAATCATATTAAACTGCCTTCTTCAAGGAAAAAAGGCCAATAAAGCTTTTTCTATTGAGATCAACAGAAGTAAGACTGTTGATCAACTTAAAGAAATCATTAAAGAGAAAAGGCTATCGACTTACGAATTCAAGGCTCAAAGGCTCAAGTTATGGAAGGTTCAGGTTCAAATAGATAATGATATGGAACTAGATAACCTTGAACTCCGCGATGATAATCTTATCACAACCGGGACAATTAATTATTATTTTACTGACAAACCATCCTGTGAGCATATTCACATTATTTTTAGACCACCTGCGCCACCTGTTAGATTAAATAGTGTATGTAAGTCGGGTCATTTACGTGAGGAAGGAACGGTGGAATACGTAGGAAATGCTTTCAAAGCAACATTACGTGAAGGTCTACTACATACCGAAGTTGGAAAACACCGTTCGTTTACAGAATTTATAAAAGCGGCGAGAAGGTTAAGATCGAGTGAGAAACCTAATTCTGATGATTTCAAAAGCCTAGTCATTAATGGTAAGAGTTACCAGAAAATTCGCGATGAAATGTATTATATGAGGTATTGCATTGAAGAATCTTCTGGAGACGAAGATGAAGGTAATATCAATATTATTTCTTAATAGAAATATGCTTTAGCTTTTCTCCGAAATAATGTCCAAATTGAATTTGCTTATTAATAGATGATATAACTTCAGAATCAGTTTCCTGGGATGATGATCTTGAGAATCGCCTCTGCAAACTTTACAAGAAAGATGACACTGTGGACATATTTTGGGGCCGAGACATCTACACAAATGAAACGACATGGAGTGTTTACGTGGTTACTCGTCATCTTAGCTTACATGGACGGACAGAAGAAGTCTCAGGTCAATTAATTCGTTTCATACTAGAAAGTAGAGGGATTCTCATTCCCGAAATTCCATCACAAAGTGGCTTTGATCTTTTGCCAACCTATAAAAAGGTCCCGCAGGATTTACAGAAAGCTTTCGATAAGGCCTTAGACAATGAATTGGGACCGTCATTCCGAGAAGCGAACTATAATTTGGTTGGTATGAGCACTGGGTATAAACAAGTTCAAGATAAATACACAGATAAACCTGCCATCATACTGTATGTTCGCCAGAAAGGCATTCTTCGTCGAGGATGTGGTGGCTTATTTCCAAG